ATAATAATAATAATAATAAGCGGGGCCGCCGCAGACCACAAGGCGCCTCGTGGCGATCGTGGCCTAGACAGTTGGGACCTGTTCTAATGAGAACCCACTCTTTTTTCGAGACGAACATTCGAGGCGAATGATATTCAGAAGTGCGGGACTGTATTGTCGAGCTTGAGTATTGTTAATTCTCTTCTAAAACAAGCCGTGCATCGCTATCAAATCTGAAATCTGACTAGAGATGTAGAGATTTGTAGCAGAACAAATCTGACTGATGACTCGATGTTTTGCGGTACCCTCCCGTCTGGCAGGGTGGGCTAAAGATCCGAGTTTTCTGATACCGAAAATTTCTGATAAAATCGGTTTTTATCAGATCGTCGTGCACTGATCCGGCGTTCGGCCGGATAGGCAGATATAAGTTGCTTATCTCTTGTCGCTTCTCTCTTTCTTCATGTTGATCTAGGAATTCTAGGAATATGTTGAATAACTTGCGAATATGTTATAGCACCAAGCAATACATGTCTCTCATGCTTCTTTTTTATATGATTATTTTCACAGTATCATTTCTCGTCAAATTATCGTTACTCAATCACTTTGTCAATCTCATTAATCGAATTAATGATAAAAGATTAATCTTATCTAGTAATGTATGTTTTGGTCCTCTAATCCTTAAAATTGGCACAATTGTGGATTTCTTATCCGACTTTAATTATATATCGACTTGGACTTGAGTCATATCAGACATCATATCAGAACGTAGTTCAGGAATTTGGCGTACGATTGAGTTTTGATAATAAGTTTCCGTTTTTTGGCGCCCGTTTTTTCGTTTAAAAGCAGACGGCAACACGCGATGGCTACCTAGTTTCATTTTTGACGCGCGCTGTAACAGTGTCAATCACTATGAGGTCATCTTCTTACCTCATCCGATTATCCACGCTATGCGCCTTCGTACTCCTTCTCGAGTACGCGGTGCTCGCTATTCCGCGGTGCATTGACAATACAAATTTCATCAATGCAACCGGTAAGCCACTCGGGAATCAAAGGTTTTGGTATAAAAAGTATATATCATATTCTCAAAATTAATTCTCCCTCGTCGAAGAAATTGCGTGAGATCGATGGTAATATTGTGGAAGACTGTGCAATTAGATCGTGTATTTATAAGAAAATTTATAATAAATATGATAAATTTAAAGAGCAATCTTTATTGTGTTACTTATAATTAAAATAAATATTAAATAATCTACAGCAGAATATAACTTCTCCTAATACTATTATTCGCTCTTACGGTTTTTTATATCAAGCCTTTAATGGTTCTCTTTTGATTGCTCTTGTATGCGTAAATCAGAATCTCTCGAAAGGTGTCTCATACTTTTTCTATCCGATAAGAATAAGAAGTGCTTGCTTTTTTACGTAAATTTTTTTGTGCATTAATTTTTTTAATAAAAAGGTATTGCGAATCCGGAAACATTCACGCCGAATTAATTTTTATTTAACCTCGATAAAGCTCGACGAGTTCAAAAAGATCTGCAATTTTTCGAAGACGTATACTCAAGCCAAAGCACATATGACAGTCATAATCGTGGACGTAAGTAACGCACAAGCTTTGGCGTATCCTGATTTGTCAAGTCGAGGACTACGACGACTACGACCGTCGTATATCGCTACACCATGTTACGTGCTTTGACCCTAAAATGTTTATCATCATAATGAAGTCCACGTTTAGAATAGTTGTTTAAAAATAATACGCTAACATGATACAGTATCGGTTTGTGCGACTTCGTGAAAATGCATAATCGGCCATGCTAAAGTTCGAAAACCTGTTTACAGTGCTCTTATGAAAGAAAACCGTGTGTAACAGTTTTCTCTTTGATAGAAATAAAAGGCAGAATTAACGCGATAAAGTTTTGAATAGAAGTAAATATATTGAAGTAAAACAAAGAGAAAACTTAAACTGTATTCTTTTGTACAACAAAGGTGACGTCCCGAGTGCTCCAGGGGTGCCTGTGGTAACGAAATTCCGGAATTCTGTATATCAATTAAATTGGGAACCCGCGCAAGCTCACGGCTCGCAAGTCACTTGGTATCGACTGGAAGGCTTGGTCGTCAATGACAGCAACCAAGACGACGAGAGTAGCGAAAACGAGCACTGGAATTTATATTATAACGGAACGGACAATTACTGGATAATTCCCGGGGATGTGGATCAGAAGTATCAATTTCGCGTGCAGGCCAAAAATGCCTACGGTTTCGGCGCTTGGAGCAGACCGAGCGCGGTCGTTGATCTAACGGAGTCCGCCGGAGGAATATTGGCTACGCAACAGCATCTACCGCTGATGTTGGGCCTCATCGCGATCGTTACTACCATAATGTTGGTGTGCTTTTGTTATTTTTTCTGGCGTAAGTATACTTGGTGCGACGCTCGAGCTTTCGATCGCAAATTATATTCAATAGAATAGCATTTCTAAAGTTAAACTTGATAATAAAAGACAATTTATATTTATACATTAAGTGATAATACATGATATTAGACAAATATATCGTAACGTTATCCAGCAGTATATCGACAACGGAAAGAGGACAAGAAGACAGTTTTGCCTCCGATTGTGTCCGATGTCGAATTAGCGACCCTCCGCGAGATCCCTCGCGGGAACTTCGTTCAATCTAACGCGCTTTACGCTTCTACGCTGCAAAATGATCCGGATGACTCTGCCCTGCCCAAAATCAGACAAGAGCAAATTAAGCTGACAAAGTTCCTAGGCAGTGGCGCATTCGGAAAGGTAAGATCTAATTCTAAAAATAATTTTGTAATCTACAGAAAAAAAAATTAATTTTGAAGAACTAAGAAATAAAAAGATAAAACCACTTTCAGTCGTTGTCGAGCAGAAAAAAAATACTTTTGCAATATTAAAGATATATCTTTTATTTTATAGGATTCATAGTAATTTAATCTAAAATGTCTTGCAGGTATATCAGGGAAATGCTAAGGATTTAGAAGGACCAGGCATAACGCCCGTCGCCATAAAGATGCTACGAAAGGACGCGTCTTCGCAAGAGAAGACGGAATTCCTGCAAGAGGCTAGACTCATGAGCCACTTTCGCCACAAACACGTGCTGAGGTTGCTGGGCGTTTGCTTAGATACGGATCCTCCGTTACTCGTGTTGGAATTAATGGAGGTCGGTGACCTGTTGAGCTATTTGAGGGAGAGTCGGTCCCTGCAACCCACGGACCCGCACGCTCTGCGTCTGCAGGACCTGCTCGCCATGTGCGAGGACGTCGCGCGAGGCTGTCGCTACCTGGAGGAGCTGCATTTCGTGCACAGAGATCTCGCGTGTCGAAATTGTCTGGTGTCTGCGAGGGATCGCGAGAACCGCGTCGTGAAAATCGGCGACTTCGGACTAGCCAGAGATATTTACAAGAATGACTATTACCGCAAGGTAAAATGCATTCTTTTAGGAAAAAGATGAAGAAAACTTCCTAAGCTACACTTATTTATCATATATATATATATATATATATATAATAATTTTTATTACATTTTATTTTATTATAATAATATTATTTGTCTTCACGTAAGCAAAGCTTAAGAAAAATAATTATTTCCATTTTTGAACAAGAGAAATTAAGTGAACGTTGTCCGATTTAACGCACGCTCGCTTCAAAGATGGATACATTTCAAGTAAACGAATTAACTCACTGCTAAAATTTCAGGAAGGAGAAGGTCTGCTGCCTGTTCGCTGGATGGCACCGGAATCCTTGGTGGACGGGGTATTCACTTCACAGAGCGACGTTTGGGCGTTCGGGGTGTTAATGTGGGAAATTACGTCGTTAGGCCAGCAACCCTATCCTGCCAGAACTAATCTCGAGGTGTTGCATTACGTGCGTGCGGGCGGCAGACCGCCGAAACCCCTCAATTGCCCACCGACGTTACACCAGCTGATGCTGCGCTGCTGGAGCGCAGCGGACGCCAGACCGAGCTTCAAAATTTGTCTCGAGAGCATCGTCGTCCTAAGGGGTCACATAGAAGACGCGGTGCTGAGCCCGGTGCACGCTGGGCACTATCTGGCACGCAGAGGTGAATTAACATTAACTTGCGCGCATATCACTGCATGGAGCAAGGAATCTCTACGAATCTATAGAATGTTGATTGAAATTATGCAATTTTTTTACTCCTTCGCATTACATAAAACGATATACTCACGAATCATTCATTCTGGTATTATGTGCGTATATAACGTGACTATTAAAAATTTGCACATAATACGTCATTTACATACAATGTATAAATTGTGAGAAGTTTTTCTTCAGAAAACGGAATTCACAGAATGAGAAAAACTGTAATAAATGAAAAGTTTTCTTTACTTCGTAAATTACGAATGTTTGAAAATGAAGAAATCCTTCGCGAGTTGTTGCATACAACGGAGATTTAGTCTCTTCGATTGATTTCGATTTCGCGTTTCCTGCGTCGCGAAAAATAAGCATGTTTCTCATTACATTCACATTACTCGACGCTGTCAAATCATACGCGACGAAAAATCCGTTTTATCGCGAAACTTCTTCATCCTCAAAATGTACTGGAATATTACTCTGTCTGCTTGAATACATATTGATCATTGCATGGCTCGTGCTTGCAGGCGTGTCTAACATGGCTTACTTTGCTGACGAGAATCAGAATCATAATAATTCAGGTAGGTCTTAACAAACATCATCTGCCTCTCTACATTACCATCCTACACACCAGGAGATACGACTCTTCCACTCTTCACCGAGCGTATTTTTCCAATCATTGCAATTAACCCGTGCGCAACGTGATACATGCGCAATTGTTTGCGCATATATATTAGAAAAATAATATAACACATAGTGTACGAAGACGTACGTACTAAAATAACGTTTTCTCATCACGAAGAAATACGTTTTTCTTAGAGTTCCGCAATTAATAAGTTAATGAAGTTCAGTTACTTTGCTATAAATTGTCATCGTTCCTCTGTATAGGAAACTCCTGGAAGTCCAGTAGCTCTGAGGGAAGCCGAGACATGCAACCCTTCCTGCAGAACTCGAACAACGCCACGCTCGGCCCACAATCCGACGAGGCTCCGAAGTATCTAGAATTATTAGCAGATAATGAAGATATCATTCTAAGGGAGAACCCTACGAACGGTTACGAAATACCTCGCTCGATCCACATCTCGGATCAGAATCTAGCGAATATAAGCAGAATCAGTTGCATGAGTCACGATCGTAAGAGCAGCCTGCCTACGGACACCACAGAGGAGCGCAAGGAACATTCGACGGATGAACGGAAGCAGTCTGACAGAAAGCTGTACAAGAGATCGTCGATCACAAGTTTAAACTTACCGGATAGAAAAGGCACGTCGATTTCGGTAATGTCAGAAAAATGCAACACCTTGGACAGCTCGAAATCGATCAACTCAGTTGCAAAGGCGACCCTGAAGAGGGATTCTTTCTCGTCCTTGAACGGCCAACGGAAGTACAAGACCAGCTTGAGCGAACGGAGGGACTCCGAGGCGAGTATCGAGGATAAAAGCTGTAGCTCGCACAGCCTCGCGCCTTCCACGCGTCCCAGTTCGTCTCTGATCAATTCGCAGACGGTCCTACCGTGCCTGAAGAGCAACGTCGTTGTCTCAAACGCCGTGAACGGGGAAGTGCCTTCGAGCGAGAACGCGGTGATGAAGAGCACGTTGCCGAAGATCCAGAGGACTCATTCAAACTTGCAGAACGGCAAGGCGAACATACCGCTCGTGATAAACAGCGCGTTGCTGAATCTATTGCGGCAGACGCCCATTGAAGACGGCAGCAATATCGTCACGTATACGAATATAAATGCGGATGCTGTAAGAGTGAATGGATCGTGAGTCGCCGATCGTGACAAATCTAAAGATTCGTACGAACGCTTCGTATAAAAATAGGCGAGACTTATACAAATTACTTCGGAGCTTGAATGAGCTCGATGTAAAAAATTGAGACAATTAAATATTTCAATATTTATGAAATATGATAATAGATTTCTACATCACACATACTAATTTTGATGCAATTTTTTTCAAGTGGTTCCTGTAGCAAATCTATTCTTCTCCAGGAACTATTTCAGTCGAATTTGCCTTATAGCTAATAAAAAATTACTCGAGACAGTCGCTACGATCTTGCTCAATTTGTTTTTTGTTTGTATTTTTTTTTAAATCCTAACGCGGTGCCTTAAACATATCAAACTACGTACGCTCATACATTAAGCTCTGCTTACTACCATTAATGTCCAAGTATTTTATATGTGAAGAAGATAAAGAGGAATGCGTGTAGCGGAGTTAAGAATAGCTTTAAACTGCCATTTTAAATGTACATACATGAACTTTTATACTCGAAAATTTGTCACGCAGATATGGCAGACCGTTTCGGAACGTACCTAAATTTTGTGACTTTAGTAATAATCGCGAACTGTTATTTAATGTAGAAATAATACGTTGGTAAAGAATGATAAATGTGAAATATATATATATATATATATATATATATAGTTTAACTTTATAATTACAATTTTACATAACATATTTATTGAATAAAATCTGTGAAATTGTTCACTGTTCATTGTACAAATTTCATGCTTGACGATAATTAGTAAATATGAAAATTAATAATAATAAGAAATTGTTAAGTTTTCTGCGTAGCTTTAACAATACGAAAATGTATATGTAATTTTATTGAAAAGATAAATTAGAATGTATAAAACTTTGCGAAGTTTACACCGATGGACTGACTATATTTGAAATTTATATTTTCAAGTAGCTTTACAGGAAAATAAATTTGTGGATCAGTGAATACTAAATAATTGTAAATAATATATTACAAACAATATACATCAGAAGTTTAATTATTTTTAACCTACGAGTTACATACATGACATACTTCAAACTCTATTAAGGTACCAAATTAAATGTCACAGAAAAATGTACAAAAGAAAAGTGGGGTACTATTCCTCTTTCTTTGCGGCAAATTTCGGATTTGCGAAATATATTTTGGTGACTCATAAACTTCCAAAAGTAGCTATTTTACACGTATAATACTAATATGCATTTAAAACAATTTCAAGAATTTAAAAGATTATTATAAGACTTTGTATCTACATTTTTACTGGTTCTTCTTCTTCACAGATACAGTGTTTCTCTTGATTCTCACAGCTTGATTTCTGCATCAGTCTTGATACATATTCATCTCTGGTATTTTTGGATATATTTCCACATTAAAATTAAGTTCCTGAAATTAAAAATGTACAGCCATCTTTTAGATTATAGAGACGAAAAAATAGGGTTGCATATTCAGTTACGTGTAATAAGGAAAATTCAAATTGTTAGTATGAAACTTGGGCCTTATTATATATTCTAGTATTTAAAAAAAAATTAAGAATTTTATAATTCCACAATATTTGAAATAACTGTTATATATAATTATATATCTCATTGTTATATATATATATATACAATTTATATATATTTAATATAGTCAGTTTACACAATGCTCCATCTCATTCAATTTTACAAGCACAGTGACAATAGCGGATATAACGTACTGTAAAATTACTTACCTAGGTCTCATTTGTAAGAGGTACGTCATCGTCAAAGAAATCATCCTTACTATGTTCGTGCAATAAAACATATTCCCTGGTACTAAAACCAAACCGTACCACGTCTTTTTCTAATAATTCGTGATACCTCCTCGGTTCTAATTTCACATTATTTACAAAGGTGCCGTTTGCGGACTCTAAGTCAATAATATACGGTCGTATTCTTCTACCCTCGGCACCACCTTCTTTTTGGTAAGAGACTAAACGATATTGCAGAGCGGCGTGTTGCTTGGAGCACGAGGGATGATCCAGGGGTATATCGGCCACTTTGCGATCCCTGCCCATGAGATAAGCCGACTGTCGATGTATGTATAACGTAGGCAACGCCTTCTCGCCCTTGAAGGGATACAATCTCCATCGACGTTTGGGTTTCTTCGCGTCCTGCGGCTCGGAGTACTTGATGACCACGCCGTTGACGGTGTTCATGTCCTCCGTCAGTTTTCCCGACAGTTCGAAGTTGGGCTTCTCCTTCTCCTCCTTCACAGCCGACTTTCCCCAGTCCGCGGAGGATTCCCTCTTCATTCTCCCATCCTCCGGGCTTCGCTTCTGCCTGTGCTGATCGTTGCGTCTTCGGCCAGAATCCTCTCGCCTGTCTCTACTTCTGCTCCTCTCGTTACGCTCCCTGTGCCTGGGATGGCTGTTCTCCCGTCTCGACGGCGATCTCTCGTGCTTCCTCTTCTCATTCTGCTTCTCGTCGTCCCTCCTGGAGTGATCGCGTCTGCCGCCTCTGTGATCCCTGTCCCTGCTTCTCTGCGATCTGTCTCTGTGCGTCTCGTCGTTCCTGTCGCGCCTGTTTTCCCGGTTATTCTTATGCGTGTCCCGTCGCTCCGCGGGGTGACTCGATCGCCAATTTGACATACTTTCCAGGTTATATTATATGTCGCGAGTCAAATTCGAATTCCCAAAACCAAGGAATAATCGTCGATCAACAACCTAACCTAACTCACTCGGTCAGATTAATCGCTGCGAAATCGTGACAGGTCGTGGCGTTGCACATATACGTATAATAACTATACGACGGCGCGTAAACGTTCCCTTGTTACTACAAAACGATCAGTTTTGTGATTTTACGTACTACGAGGTACAATATATACATATATAGAGACTTGCGAGCCGCCATAAGCGTCGACCACTCCATTCATCGGCACTCGGCACTCTCGGCAGCAGGGTCCATACACTCATATGGGAAAAATTTTTCGCGTATTCGAGCGCCATCTAATTTGGCTCCTTCGTGAAAATGGAACTACGTAGCCAAAATTCAATATGGCGTCAGTTGAACTCACTGGGCGCGTTCAGCAGACCAAGTCGCTCAGTAGCAGTCGAACGTGATTGGCTCTTACTTTTAGAACCAACCAATCAACGCAGAGTGTTGATAAGACGAACTCAACAGTTGTGTCTGCTGAACGCGGCAAGTCACGTAGTCACGTGAGCCAAGTGCCGAGTCACGTGTATGTAGGTATGTACACAACGGGCAACAACGGGCAATCACCAGCAATCAGCAATCACGAGCATCGCGACTGATCGCGACACGAGTTATTGCCGAATTTTCTTGTAATGTAAGGGCCAATTTCACCAACCACGGTTAGCTAACCGACGGTTAAAGTTAGCAGTATTGACCAATACTATTCTTTCTTTCATTATTTTGTTAAATATTTTACGATGTGTTTTTCTTTCACATTACTAAATGTTTTGCGAATTTTTCCCTTTATTATTTAAAAGTTGCTTTAAAAAAATTTTTAAATCATTATTTAAAAGTGTAAGATTCCCGCGAAGGTTTTAATATAATTTTGATATTATAATAACTTATTATATAACAATAAATATTATAATATATGATGTATTTTTAATTTTTAGCTTCCACGCGGAAGCTTCCGCATACATAAAATGCATCGTGCAAACATAAAAAGACTGCGATTTATTTCGTATAAAAAAGTACAAAATTATTCTTATATATGTATGTACATAATAATACATAGTTAAGATATCTACAAGGATACTCGAAGTAATTTGTCACGCTGCGATCATCCGCCCTTATTCCAAAATTTTTATCTTCTTTCCCCCATTTTCGCCCCAAATCGCATAAAGGATCGTGCGTCACGCGATCTCGTGAAAATCCGTCGTTTTCATACTGTTTTTCCATCAGAGCGTTTAATCATCAGCGTTTAACATTGACATTCATTATCGCATAGCCAGCATACAAATCCAAGCATCCAATCCTCTTTCCCTCCGTCGTGAAACGAAAAAGTTAAACTCGATTTAGTCAAAGCCACTGGAGAAGTATGTTATACCGCAATGCAAAGAATTTTTGTTTTTTTTTAATCTGCAATAAAGGTAAAATCTTGAATATATATTACTGCGTGTTGTAGAGACCCTCGAAAAAGAAATATTGACCGTAGATTAAACATCTTTGAAGATTTTGGAGAAAGCCTTTTTACGAGACTAACAATAAGTTAATACGTCGAGAAGGTAGAGTCGTCGATGGAGTCGGTGCCGTCGGAGTTGCTCTCGGCGGCGTCCACGAAGGCCGTCGAGAGATCGCCGGCCAGCTTGCTAACGGATCCAGAGGTCACGTCGTACATGAAGATTTCCTTGTCACCCTGACCATCACCGTCTCTCGGCCTAAAACATCGCAATAAATCCGAGTGAAAGCGCGTAGCCTCGCGAATTCCTCGACTTTCAAGTGGATTCGCGCGCGACACGGATGAACCGTCGATTGTAATACGGTGACATTAGAATGTTAAAAAGTTAATGGAGCAAGTCATTATTATGATGATATATCATTCTATTCAATTTTAGTCGATCGATATATATATATATAACGTGAAAATGAAAAAATAAAATTATAAACGATAATCATTGCTGTGAGACTATAAATTTGGAATATGTTAAAAGTTAAAATTGCAAAAGATAGATTTAAATAGTTATCAGATTTCAATCATACGCTAAAAGAATAAAAGAATATAGATAATTTTATTTAATCAATAATATTTTATAATTATTTGTAGTGTGAAAATGGTACCTAAATCTAACAAATTTACGCTATATTATCGACTACATCTTGGATGTAGACACGCGGTGATGTAACGTGTTGATTTTTTAGAAAGCGGCACCAGAGAAGCTAAATGTCTAAAGGTGCCTGGAGCGTTAAGAGAAAATGAATCACGACATCTTATCACGCGTGCACGCATCGCGCATAATCGAACACTTACATGGTCACGAGGAGGACGACGGACTGCCTCTGCGGCTCGGTGCGGCTCTCCTGTTCGAGCCACTTCTTGTAGTTCTCCGCGGTGGGCTTCTTCACGAGCTGCTTGAGGGTGTCGCCGGCGAGAAACCTGACCGGCTGCGCGTCGCCGCCGGCCTTCCTGCCGCGTCGCTGCGACTCCGACGACGCCGCCGCCGCCGCGATTTCCCTCTCCTCGCCGGGAAAGTCGTAGTCGACGGGTGCCAGCACCACGACGCTCGAGATCCTACGGCCGTTGAGCTCCGGCACGTCCGGTATCGGGAAGGACGTGCCGCTCACTTTAAGCGGCAGATAACGATTGTACTGCGCGGCGGCATCGTCCCCGCGCGCTCCCACGGTCACCGGCTCGAGCCGGGTCGCGTCGTCCCGTATATGCTGCTCCGCCACGGCTCGGCCTTGCTCCGTATTCGGATCGAAGCGTACTACTTTCATCTCCACGCCGCCAGGCCGTAAGGTAGCCTGTTCGAACTTGGTCGAGCTGTCGCCGACGTTGGTATCAACGACGGGGATCAGGTTCGTCGCCTTCTTCTGCGTCGTCTTCGTCGACGGCCTTTTGGCGATCGCTGGTACGGGCTCGCTGCCGGCGGCAATCGCCGCTCCGCCTCCGGCGCCGTAGAAATTCGCCAGGGCTTCCGGCGGCAGTTTCTCGATCGGTATGTCACCGATCTTGTCGTAGTCGAGGATCTGGATATCGGCGTTGCCCAAAATACCGGAACTCAGCAGCTGCTCCCTGATGTCGTCCGGCACCTCGTCCGGTAGATTCGCAATGTTCTCCTTGATCTTGGCCGCCTTATTTGGCGAGAGCGTCGTCGTGGTTGGCGCCTCGGTAGTCGTTGTAGTCCTGGTCGTAGTAGTCGAGGCCGTGGTCGTCGGTAAGAGTGTTCTAGCGGTCGACGGTGAGTTAAACTCTTCGGAGGGGCTAACCGGCGTCGCGTAGATCTTCTGCGCGGGATTGCTTTGGAATAACGGCCGGCCCCATATCGATTGCTGCTGAGAGAAAGTGGTTTGCGGTCGTTGTTGCGATGTCGGAGGATTCTGTGAGAAGAAACTCTGCTGACTACTCTGGTGAGACTGATGCTTCGTGTTTAATTGCTGGTTTAATTGTTGAGTGTTTAATTGTTGCGGTAGACTGTCACCGGAGATAAAATGATTTGTTGGATTCCCAGCGAGCTGCTGGGAATCGCGAAGAGCGTTGAACGGTTGCGCGGATACAAACTGGTTCTGGGAGAATTCGGGAAATGCCGTTGGTTGCACTACAGCAGGATTTGGCGGGAACGGGCCGGGATGAAGAGGATTTTCTCGGATCGCGTAATGCTGTTCCAGCTTCGGCACGGCCTTGAAAATTTCACCTGCCGGTCGTTGAGGCGATAATTGCGGCGGTAATTGTGGCTGCAATTGTTGCTGTAATTGCGGTTGCAATTGCGGCTGCTGAAGCTGCGCCTGGTTATACTTAAGCTGCGTGCGATACCGTTGCTGTTCCTGAAACAGTTTCAGCTCCTGCTCTTGCTTCCGCCTGCGTTGTTCCTGCAAGCGCTGCAAATCCTGCAATCGCTGCTGATCCTGCAACCGATGTTGTTCTTGCAAACGTTGTTGCTCCTGCAGTCGCTGTTGCTCTTGAAGTCTCTGGTGTTCTTGTTGCCTCTGATGTTCCTGCTGTCTCTGCTGCTCCAACAATCTCTGTTGCTCGACCTGTCTCTGTTGCTCCAGGAATCGCTGATGTTCCTGATATCGCTGCTGCTCGTGTTGTCGTTGATGTTCCCGTTGCTTCAACAAGTCTTGCTGTCGTCGTTGCTCGTGATAACGTTGCTTTTCCAGTTCCTGCTGCTTAAACGGAGGTAGCGATTGCGGCGGAAGTTCCGCATTGAAATTATTCGGTCTGGATAACGGTTGCTGCGGTGGCTCCGAATTGAAGCCGCTAGGTTTGACCGGTAATGATTGAGGTGGTTCCGCGAAGTTATTCTGCTGCAACGACAATGGTCGATTCTGCACGTGAACGCTCTGATGCGATACCGATAACGCGGGCGGGAATCCCGGTTGCTGCGGGTGATTAATATTAACGTGATGCGGCGGCGGACCGAAACTGTTGAACGTCGTACGTTGCTGCACTTCCGGGAGACCTTGAATTGTTATAGGGTGCCGCTGCAATGGTCTCGATGGCGGTGGCGGTGGCGATGGCGGGTTCCTCAAGGATTGCTGTGGTGGAAACGACTGATGATGCGGCGGTGGCAGGGGCGGTGGCGGCGGCGGCGGTTGCTGCTGTTGCTGCTGTTGCAAGAACGTCGTTGCCTGCGATTGCGGTGGGAACGAGTTGATAATGCGGTGCTGTGGGAACGCGGGTGGCACTCGTGGGGGTTGCGGGGGCTGCAACGGCTGGTAAGGGCCGTGCTGTCTCTTCGGCGCTCCCGGCGACGTCGTCGGCTTGCTGACGTGCGGTTGGGTGCTACTACCAGGCGTCTCCAGGTCGCTGCGCTTGCTGTGACTGTTGGGCGGCACTTGCTCGGTGCCGAAGGTCACGCGGATGCCACTGCTGCCGGAATGGTATACCTCGCTGTCGGGTCGAATAATGGCGCGTAAGGTCGTCGACGGTTCTGAAGGCGGTGCCGGCGTCACCGTGTACGTCGGCTCCTCCCCGTACGGTGCCGAGTTTTCCGGCTTAATTTCCTCGTGCTCCTCCACCGGCGTCAGCGCGGGAATCGGCGGATCGTAAACGACGCGAGTCTTGTCCCCGTAGCCCTTTTTCTTCTCATATTTTACGTAGAAGACCTGGATAGGTTCCTTGGTGGGTCGCGGTTGAGAAGGAAGCGCTGGCGGCACCGGAGTCGGAAGAGATTCATTGGATTCTTTGATAATGATCTCAATGATCGGTTCGGGTTCCGTTGGATAGTAGCTCGACGGGTTCTCTTCATACAAATCGTCGTTCTTCGGGCTCGCCAAGGGATTGTACAAAGGATCTCTCTGAGAGTATTGCACTATCGGTTCCATCTGTACCGCATACGGCGGCAGGCGACCACCCTTCCGCAGGAAGGCGAGCTGCTGACGTTTGTCACGGTTCTTCGATGACGGGCTCTCCTCTTTGGCGACGGTCGCGACGACGAGGAGCGTCGCCGCGAGGAGTCTCTGAAAAAGAAGAAGGGATCGGCACGTTGACAACATCTTTTTATATCGCGATGATGAAATATTGTTAGTCTAATAAAACCAATGTTTGTTATTTTAAAATTTGTAATTTTTTTTCAAACTCTGGTAAAGTCTTAATCTTTCTGGCAATAATTCAACTTTCTGGGAAATAGCGTACGTATCGTTTTCTAATTGATTGATGGTGCCAACGTTTCAAGCTGATTAGCATATAAGGTGATAATGTAAATATAAGAAGGGGGACTTAACGCGCTCTGATAACCGAGTAACCCGTTTAATAACCAGAAAACTCATCGAAAGCCTTAACGGGCTTCGAATCGATTGGTATGCTAGCAAGAATCAAGGAACAGTTAGCCTGATAAGCGATTCCCAGTTGTGACCGTGCTCTCGATATGGTGAGATCGACTTGCAACGCATCGGATGTTTCTCGTTTCTCTGAAATCTCTCGGTTCCAAAACTTCCACTACCGGGCGATGGCGAGCTTCCGCGTGTTCTACAGTCTTTTGTCTTGTGATTACAATAATACGTAATAACTTTAAATAAATAATATAATTTTTATCAAACAAAATTAAAAATGGTGTTCTTTCTCATATTTTAACCATCGTTAAAATGAATTTTTCATTCTAATGTAGATAATAATTTTTTAATCTAATAATTCGATATTCCTGTATTAAAAGCATACTTCAAAATTACTGTATTATATAACAAATCATTACTTATCTTTATTGAAATTTTATCGCTATTCTTTTCTATAATTCTAAAAATGCACTATAATAAAACATGCCCTAGTGTACTCGATTGATCCTTTAAAGTCCACGAAGAAGTGGGTGAAGGAGAAAGAGAAAGAGAATCAAAGTTTAAGACCGGCACGGCGTCGCGTTTCACCTCGAAAATTCGGTGCCTCTCTCGGTGCTGGGTTAGCATATTCGAATGAGGCCCCGAGTGCCTCTTTTACGTGAGGCAAACCCGCCTCGAGCGTCGTAAAGGCTGCCCGAGAGAAAAGCGAGCTCCCAGACGATGGGACGCCGCGATTAAACGGGCATCGATCTCCGCGGGACGATTAACGGCCGTATCGTTGCCGGTCGCGTCTGCCACGATTTATTAAAGGACTTTCCCCGGTGCGTGAGAGTCGATACGCTCGCTGATTACAAATGATAGCACCGCGAGCGACATGCTTATTACAATGAAAGTACAAGCGCCTCCGTCTAAGCGGTCCATCCGCCCTCCTCGCGGACGCGCCCCGTTATAATTACCAGCTTGGCGAACCGCATCGCTGCGATCGTTCTTCGGGCTCTTCCTCGTGGAGAGATTCACACACTTCTCGCCGGCCGATTTCTCGCGTTAGAGGCGGCTGACTCGCGACATGACACCGCTCGAGACGATCGGACGTTTCTTGGCTGAACGATACCGAGCGGAACCTCGCATGTGAACTGAGGACAGATCGGGGCCCAGGGGCCCGTTTCTCCCTACTCGATGCCACCACCACCGACGGCCACCGCTCTTCAAGAAGCTCCTCTCTAATATCGAAGACGGTGGAGCAGCACCTTTCTCCGAGGGGCCCCTCGACATTCGTTGGTGTTCGGTGTCCGTCGTACACGTGGACGCATACGTAGATGGAGATGGTAGGGGGGGAAAGAAAAGAAAGAGAAGATGAGCACCGTGGAATGTATATCTTCTTCGCACACACGATAACTTTCTTCAAATCCGCCCGACCATGCGATCACCTGTAGAGGGGATGATTATACTAAGCGCGTCCTCACTTTTCCGCGACCTCCAAGGTCCATCGAAACCGAAACTCCCCTTTCCTCCTCTTCTCAACGAGAAGCTATTCGGTGAAAGAGCGTGATGGATCTTAATGTTACCTGAAGGGGAGTGGAGGCGGATTACTTTCGCCACGGTGCTAAGCTTCGCTAAGCTACGACTTCCTCGAGACAAGTGATCGTTTCCGATCTGTTCGGTAATCCTTGTCCACGAGACAGGATATGTCGGTCGATTCGGATGTCGCTGCAAATCGCACGATGATTATTTGAACTGAACACTCTTGCCCACGAATGATCATCTTGATGGACAGATACAATTGAGGCGGCTGCAATTATAATATCATTAGCATTTCTAGGCTCCGACTTTAATGCAAACCTTATTTCTCTTGGTATAATAGTCGCGCCGACTTTCATGAATGTGCACAGCAGTGTACATTCGTGAGAGTGCAAGTTGCTGCAAACGAATTCTCCGAAAACGATGCAATGTTGATTTCGCAGAAGTGCAAAGGCCTTTTTTTTCCTAATGTTATAAAATATATTCTACATATAGAGTGCGCGATAGTGGATTGACAAAGATTAATAACGCGATCAATCTTCTTTTTTTGCGTGGACTTTCAAAATGTATTTTAAAAACTTTCATATATGAACGATTATACTTTTAAAAATGCATATATAAGACGTTTCTTTATAAATATTTTAAACATTTCGCACAGAAACTTATCTCTTTCTAATCTCTTTTATAGAAGAAATTTCGCATAGCGCAAGAAGTTATTCAGATCCTCTTACATCAACGTATGACGGATGATTCTGATTTGATAAATTGCATGGAACATTTTTCCGAGCACGATGTCGAAGTTGCCACAGGTGTGAGATAATTCACTCGCAAGAAATCACACAGGAGATTGTATATAAGTCATGTTCGTCGTTACGAAAGGTGCAGATTCAGTAGAGCAATTGAACGAGATGACCCGCTAGACCTCTCCCCAGTTGCAAAAGTGCCCGGCGATGTTTTGCAGACCGTCTTCGCATTTGCGCAATCTGCCTCGTTCCAGATCGACCAGATCATCAAAAGCGATGATTTTCTATCGAATCTAATTTCTAAGCCTCTTAAAGAGAAGTCAAATCGTTCGGAGAAAAAGAAATTAAGATTTGCCGTTACGCCAGAAACTGACGACGGGCGAGTCATGTAATTTCGAAAGTCGTGAGAGAATCCGTGATGGGAATTAGATATATATATACATATATATATTTTTTTAGTATTTCTCAATATCGGTACTCATTAATTTCGGCACTAGCCAACGTCCGGCATCGACAATTCGAGTCTCCGGGCGATCGAGATTGGACGTCGCGCGTCCTACTTGCGAAACTTTCACTTATACGTTGGCGTAAGAGGATCCGAATAGCAGCCGGTGAGCTCGAAGATGATGAATACAGGATCCATCTGTCCGTCCGGGAGGGTCAGTGATCCGCGAGTCAGGGCGATATTTCACGCTGACTTATCGCCGTTTCGCCGAGAAACGATATCGTTCTTGGATGTCCTAAGCGTGTATAATTTCGCACGCGAGAACGATTCATCACTTTTCCGCGGCACTGCGCAGATGACACAGTATCTTAACTATTTCTAATCTGTTTACTCGGTCGACTCGCGGTGTTTTCCGAGGAAGCTCTCTCTCTCTCTTTCGGCACCGTGACAAATGTACATTGTCGCGTAACTTTCCTTTCATTATGAAGTTAATTACTTAATTACCGATATGAAATAATTTCAAGGTTCAATCGTAAAATTTAAATCTCCGCCGAAGGGGAAGATATTCGGAGTGAAGCAAGATTGAAAAGCAAGACCTCGCCGTTTTCGAGTTTCTCATTTCCTATTCAAAGTAAATGTAATTAAAATAACACGACTATGTTTCATTCTAACATTTAGCTCGCGTTACCAACAGTCCACATCCTGTCGCTGATAATCGCAGGAAATGTTGTACAACAAGTACTAAACGTCTGCTTGGTATGTTTCGTGTAAAAACGACACTTTCTAATCGGTCTACAATACGACCATCGCGATTATCTTTAATTAAATCAATTTTTAATTCGAGATCAACTATTGCAGAAATTGAGGGACGCTTTATCATCGTATAATATACATCTTACGTGTTACACACGCGTTATGTTACACGGTTATTACATCTGCTATCGAGCCTATTCATGCACGAGGAGCGTGGAAACTCCCTCGCAACCGCAGAGCCGACGTGTGTCGCGAGATCACCGCGATTGCGAGACCGATCCCCGTAACAGCGATGGCAAACGATTGCGAATTTGATTCTCCCAGTTCTCACGAAAGTACGAAGGTTTTGCGGGTTTTGCCATACGATCCTCTTATATGAGCGCTAACGATATACGTGGCTCTTCGAGAGCAGTCGGCTCATGAGCAATAACGTAACTGTTGAAGAGTGAAAGTGCTGTAAAGTGGGACGCCGCGGGAATAGCGCTCGCTCTTATAATTAATAAACAAAGCCTGCAAACGGGTTCTCATCGTCTAGGTGCGACTCTGCATTCAATGCGACATTTTTATAGGACCTTGCCGAGCGTCGTTATATCCATCCTCGGTTGATGATCGAGACCTTTCTCACGCTCGCTTTTTATTCAGGAACCTCGCGCGTTTTATAGACAGGGATAACAATCAAATTATGAAAATTTATAGAATTCAAGTCACGGTTAGAAGTTAATAAATAAGTAGCTTCAGGATATATATCTTAATTATATTTATATATTCCCGCGTTCGTTTATCTTTCTTATAATTAGAATATTGTTGATTCAAAATATTAAAGTCAGTTTATGTTAACGTTATTTTTTTTCTCTAAAAATTTCAGAGCGGATTTTGGAGGAAAAGAAAAAGATAAAATCAGTTTTAAAAATAATGGAGAAAGCAAAATTAGATTATATTAATAAATAAATAGCTTTAGAATATTTCTCAATTACATCTTTATATTCCCGCGTTCGTTCAGTTTTTTATAATTAGAATATTGTTGATGTAGAATATTAAAATTACTTTATATATTTTTTTCAAAAATTTCAGAGCGGATTTTAGAGGAAGAGAAAAAGATAAAGTTAGTTTTACAAACAATGGCGAGATTATAAATTAATCTTCTTGACAATTTTATGTTGTGATTCAATTATTTTCTTTCTGATTTTCTTTTATCTTTTCTCTCGCCTTTTAATTCTGATATCACGTATATCATTTGCGCGGTAAGCCGATTATCAAATATATGGATCGAACTGCTCGCCTGCAGTGACCTAAATTCATAAGGTGGAAAATTCTCACTCGTTTTTCAACGTGAGAAAAATATTTCATAAGCTACAAGGGTGTTGCGCGCCATAGGCGTTAATCCGAGTCTTACAACTAATTAAAGAACGGAGGCCGAGCGAAACTGACACGCGATGTGATGCGCTCATAAAAGTTACGCGGTGACTTTTATTTCCAGAGAGATTTACGGAACGATAAACGTTATGCTTTTTTTTTTAATTGGAGTTTAAAACGCCGCGCGTCTACCATCCGTCGGCGTCGGCGTCGAGGAGAGAGGCACTCTCCGCGGCTATCGACTGTACAAGCGGAAAATGCATAACTGCGTTATATAATTACACACTACGGGCCGGTATCGGACGAAAAATTGTCTGTAATTGATGTTACGCCCGATGCACTTTCTATTTCAGGTCCAGCGGATTCCTCACACTTCGCGATCGGCGCGCGAGCCCATGCCGGAAAAAGGGAAAGAAAATCGCTCGATCTCCATTATCCTCTCCAATCGATTAAAAAATGTCGGACGGCAGTTTTTCCGAGCGCCGCGGCGTTATCACGGTCAATTTGATAAATCATAAAGAAGCGTGAAGAATAATAAGCATTAACTTTCTCCTCGGCTAAATCACTCGTGCCGCCACTGACGTGCGTGTGTCGGCGAAGACCCGCGGCCTATCTCGGCCCCGCGGCAAATCGCCGAAAGCCCATTTGCTCCCTTACTTTTACGAAATTAAAATAAATCGCGAGAAATATGCCCGCGTTTACGAGAATTTATAAATACCGTAACGCACAAAATTCGCGTACACGTGCTACACTTTCCATTTCGCGCGCGATAAATCAGCTATCACGCGTATGCGTGCGAGAACGCGCGCGCGCGGCGCGCAACACGTGACTTTCTAATATAATTTCCGATAATAATAGAAAAAGATAATGATAAAAAAAGAAGATACCTATACGCAATATATGTAGCTAAGGATCTTAACGCAACCTAAACAGAAAGTTTATATTATTAAAAATAATAATAGATCAGGTTTGAAAAATTAAAATCGAAGGAGGTAAAAAGGACTGACGAATCAAGCTGCGTGTACGTGCTAAAAATATTATAATTTAAATAAACAATGTCAAATACTGTGACATTAATAACATTATACAACCTAATATTAATATTTTTAACAATATGGATTTAATGACGTAAAGGAGCGCCGTTAACTTAGATAGGTAAATAAATAACGCAAGGAGAGATACATTTGCATACTTGGTTCGTAAATTTAATAAGTCCCGGTCTACAATAGGTGTTTTAAGCCCTAAGCCCTAAGAAATTGGCCAATCACAGTCAATTGTTCTCCTCAAATTCAACTGTGATTGAACAATTTCTTAAAGCTTAGGGTTTAAAACACCTATTGCAGACCGGGCACTAATGGGAAGGGAAAGGTACAACTTATCGCCCGATCAGCGTGTCGGGGAGCGATACGAACTGTTCGTCCGTCACGGCGCAACAATGGCCGCCCCCGTGGTTACGTGCACATGCAGAACCTGCTCGAAGGCTCGCGTAACACTCGAGAGAATCTTCAACGTCCTAGACACGTACGGCTGGTTGCTAGACTCGTACGTCGTGGTATGTAATTTAACGAAGATATACTTTGGCGTCGCACGGGCATTCCGAGCTTCTTTCTCCGTTCCCCTCCTTCGAACCTATAATTCGCATATATGTCGTCGCGTAAATGTACCCCGATACACATTTCACATGTTCCTCGTCTGTCATCTTTCACTTTATTTTTCTCGAGAACAACGAAATCGACCTCGAAATCCGGCGAATCGCATTGCAGGATTTCTTCCAAGAGCGACTGTGGGAGAAATTGCCGAGCAGCTGGAGGAGCACGCTGCAAACCGTGTCGCCCGACGAATTCGGCGAGTGGTTAGCTGGCGACATCTCGTGGTAAGCGCGTCATCTTCACCTCGGTCGGCAAGCGCGAGTGACTTCGAATTAATTAATTGCTCCCTAATCTATTTTTTTCCACTAAACAATAAAAATTGGAACATTTTCCAGAGAAAGACTCAGACAAAATAATAATGAAATATTTCAGATTTTTATTTCAGTACATCTTTCCGTAGAAATCTCAATAAATGTGAGAAAATTCGCGTAAAAATTTATCAGAAATTTTCATACTTATACAGATAATGAAATAGATGAAATATTCCGAAAATCTTTATCTAATTATTTCTAAAAGTGTCTGAGATTTGACATATTTTTTTCAAAATTTTTTATGAATCCAAAATTGAGAAATTCTTAAAAAAAAATTATGAGAAAATGAGAAATGTTTTCACCAGGAGAATTATGTAGTTAACAATTTCGCTATAAATCCCGATTTGCTGTCGATTGAGTTAATCGGAATTTGATCGAAGTCACCATCGAGGCTCGAGCTTGACGCAAATACATTTCAAATTCGAACGCGAGCCTCTGCGGTGAGAAATAAATTTGTCTGTCTGTAATTTGACAATGCAATTCGTTTTGCAGCTCACGCGCATGGCCATTGTCACTGCTCGCGCTTCGACAAGTTGCGAGGGATTTACAACTAAACAGAGATCATCGAAATGACGAGAGCGGCTGGCGATGCGACGGAGGGAAAAAGTTCGAGTGCGGCTCGGAAAATTCTGTCCTGGAAAATAAAAATAAGGGATTAAGCGATACACCTGCAGCTTTGAGCAAGCACAACAATCTCTTTCTGAAACACGTTAAAATAAAGAAACGACACGAGATACAGCAAATAGCGCGGGTACAGCCGCATTCCCGAAGTATCATCGCTTTAGATTAGAGGCGAAATGTTTATAGGCCCTGTAAGAATTTATCTTTGCACAGATATGCGCGGACTGTGCGCGAGAGTCCAATGCCAAGTGCATTGTAGATGTTGGAGCAGGCGTGGGTCATTTAGCCCGATCCTTAGCGTTTAAATACGGCCTAAACGTAACGTGTATTGAACAAGACGCATTACTGTCACAACAAGCCAGGTAGTCCATCGTTACGTCATCGACCTCTCCATTTTTTCTCTTGCTCTAAACTCTAAGCAATCTCGGTGTATTACTACTCAGCTAGCAGGATGACGTTTAAACACGTCTTGACGATGTATTGTTGACGTTAGAGATGTTATTAACACGTCATTTGATGTCACTCCGCTACCTGGGTGGTAATTTCATCGTTCCTTCATTATCATTCGCGTGACAGGTTTTTAATTGCAGGAAATGGGATAACGAATTGTTAATGACTTTGTCTAAACATTTGCCTGACTTGCCAGTAAATACGCCGCAACACGTATCGATCAAGCTGGAAAATATCAACTCTGATCGGTCAGCGACGATCAGGGACATACGAAGAATTTTCTCCCATAACTTTAATTCGGGTGAGAAGAAATCGAGGTTTGGCATTGTCGGCCTGCATCCGTGTGGAGATCTCGCGGCCACGCTACTGAAACTTTACGCGTCTCAGAGCGAGGCAAGATTTATTTGCATCGTGGGGTGCTGTTACATGAAGCTGACATTGGAGTACGTCCGCGAGGCATAAAACATATATATTATCTTTATGAGATTACGGTTGTATTAATTATAAATGACGTAATGCATTTAGAAGTCCGGCGAATATTACAAATGGATATCCACTCAGTAAATATCTGTCGTCATTTGGAAAACGCAAATTATCCTATACAGCGTTGGAAGTGGCGTGCCATGCTATCGAGAGCTACCGCGACAAGCTGAAGACTGGGAACTACGAGGATCTAATGGTTAGTGTCGTATACTGGAAGCGGTATAAGTTATATTATCGTTGTATTATCAAATTTGTACATTTTTTTCAGGTGCACGCTTACAGAGCCGCTCTAGAAACCATTTTGATAAAACGAAACAGCCAGCTACGTCACACTCAAGTGAGGAACGTTAAAGTGACGAGACCCGTTACGTTTGAACAGTTGAGTAAAATTGGTTACGATTATCGAGATTTTACGTGTCATTATAGCGATGATGATTGAACGCGCTTATCTTTTTCAGATACTGCACGGCCGCGACCGCGGACTTCGAGCCGAATCTCCGGCCTGAAGATTCAGACTTTCAAAATCCGCAGATAAAATCGTATCTGAATCAGTGGCGGCAGATTGTGATATTCGGAGCGTTGCGCACAATGCTGGCACCGTTGGTGGAAACCGTAGTGTTGTTGGACAGGTTCCTGTATTTATCCGAAAATGATTTATTTCCTGTATTGAAGCCTATTTTCGACCCCAGATTGTCTCCTCGAAATTTTTTATTGTTTTCTATGAAAAATGTCAAACAATCGCCCTGCTGATTATGTCTGTATCTTTTTATACCTCTTACTAAAATAAAACTTCAAGGAAAATTAATTAATTAAATTGAATATTAATTTTTAAAATAAAATATCTTATTTTCATACTTCTGTATGAGTCAAATTAAAAAAAAAATTTTATGCAATTTAATAAAGATAAGATTAATTCGAAATATGTTTGCCTGCGATTATTTTGCTCAAATATAACGATTATAATAACATCTCATTTTGAAAATTGTATGACCACAGTTGACGCTAGGAATTCTAGTCTAAATATGAAAAGTTAAACATACTTTGACTAAATATATCTTATAAATTGATAAATTTAGATTACACGCAGCCCTGTAAACAGTGCATCTTTGTTTGATACTATTTTGCGCGGTACCGCGCATTCCGATTAATCCCATCTTCTCATGAAAATTCAGTGGCTTCGCCGCGTCCAATAGAAGCGAGCGACACATTGCCGCGACCAGACGACGGGCCAATCGGAGCGCGATCCTCGGCGAGACTCGCGCGGCGCGCCAGCGCCAGCAGCGGTGGCTTAACGGCGACCACGCAAAGGCCGCAAAGCGTTCCTTGGCGCCACCGGCAGAGCGCGTCGCGGTAGCCGGTCGCGAGTTCGCACGAAGCGTTGACGTTCCTCCGGTGAGATCCAGTTTCCTTTAAGCCGCTCTCGCGCGTTTGTCTGTTCTCGTCGCGTCGTGCGTCCTACCGATTATTATTTTCTCCTCCTCCCCCCTACCCCGTCCGCGTACACGAGATCGTCGGCACGGTGTTAGAGGTATCGCGAGCGGTATACATAACACGCTCGTGTCGTCGTCGTCGTCGTCTTCGTCATCATTGTCGCCGTCATCGCCGCCGCCGCCGTCGTCGTCGTTGTCGTCGTCGTCCCTGTCGCTGTCGCCGTCGCGGTCACCGTCGTCGTCGTGCAGCGCCGAGTGCTCCGTTTCAAACGCATCGCCCGGTGTACAACGGAGGATGGCATTCAACGGAGACGGTCCGCACTCCAAGAGGCAGCGGCTGGAGGAGTCCGGACACAGGGTGAGTGCGCGCGCAAATTATTATCACGCGTCGCGGCCGCGTCCGCGACGCCGACGGTCGGTCTCCGGCTCTCTCTCGCCCGCCGTCGCGTCGGCGAGAAGTGCAGCGAGAGAAGACGCCGCGCCGACGACGAGGGGGAAGAAGCGCGTCGCCATTTATCGGCGTAATGATCGCGGCCGCGAGGGGCACGGCGCGATGCGCGCGTGTCTCGCCGCGCGCCGCCGAGCACGGCGAGTTTTCGTAGAGACGCGCGGGGCGCCATTTACCCGCGGGTCCCGACATACGGGTTTCACGGTACGGGCATAACGTATTTGCAGCGCAGCGCGTCGCGTTGCATCGCCGGCACGCTCGCCCGCGCCCGATAACAATCGGAGTAATCGAACGCGTTCGTCCGCCGACAGCCAAGAAGCAATCCGACGCGATTCTCGCCGGACGATCGCCGCTCCGCCGAGCGCGAGTGTATCGCGATCCCTCCTTCCTTCCTTCCCTGCCCTCCTCCTCCCCGCTGCAAAAGACGCGGGGGCCCGGTTGGCGTGAAATGTCCGTCGGTCGGAGTTTAAAACTCGCGGTGATTCCATTCGCGTGAGAATCGCGCCGGAAGTTATCCCGACATGTCGATTGCGCGCTTTTGAACCGGAAATGACATCGATCGATTTTTAAACGCCGTAAAGAAATCATTTCTCCATTTTTTTTTTACATTTGACACGGATTGTAAGTATTCTGGTATTCTCGTCGAAATGATTGATCATTTGTAACAGCCTGAGCAAATTGGATATAAAGAAATGCATGCAACCGCTAATTTTTTTAATTACTTTACGTATCGCACGAATATTACGATGGAGAAGAGAAAACGCTCTGAAAAAGGTTACGACGGAACGATCTCGTGTATAAACTTGATAGAAAGCCCGGAGAATTTTGTTGTCGAGAGTCGCGATCGGAGAATAGAAAGCAACTCCTGCACGCCAAACGCGGTGCGCTCTATTCAATTTTCCTCTTATCTAAAAGATACATATACGCATAAAGCACATCGGATTTGCCATACATTCTTTTATTCATGAATTCTTTTTTACGAACTCTTTTAAAGTCAAGTTTTTCTTGAAAAAAACGAAAATTTTCGTACCTCGTGTGAGTAAAATACGATGAAGAACAATGAACAGTTCGATAATTGAGCTACAAGTGCGTAAACAAATAGTAAAATTTTATTGAATTCATTTGAGTTGCTTTAAATGTGTAAACAAATAGCAAAATATGTTTTTAATTCATTTGGATTAAACGCAAAAAGAGCTGTCAATTTTTATCGAAAACATGGATTTCAAATTGATCGAAAAAAATTCCTAATTTATCATGAAATTATTGTATTAAATCTCGCACGACACTCTTGTATTTCAAATAATATTAAAATGTATATAATTATGTTTCTACGTCGCTCAATTGTCAGTTTTAAAGTACCGTATATTGTACACGAGAGAGATGATAAAATTATACATATGTACAGGACCAGGTTTATTCTCGCCGAGTGCATCGGAAAGTTAATAATGCCGGTGTTTGTTAACTCGCTGCATTCGCTTCCCATGCACTCGCATTTCGATATCACGTGAAATATTTATTAGCGCGGTTCACCTTGTTTATTCCCCCATTTCGTTATGTAGGTAACGGGACAGAATAATTAACGTTCGCTTTAACGGCTCCTTGTTCGGTTACCTCGTGGAAGCTCCCAAAAATTGTTAGTTTCAAAACGCATAAATTTATGTTGTCCGAAGCTTTAACCTTTACAGGCTTTTACTATGCGATACATGGACCTCGCAATTTTGATCGCGTATAACTCTGAGTCTAATCAACCAAATTTAAAAAAATTATAATGAAATTGAGGTAAAAAAAGCTGAAGAAAATAATAGAATTAGAAAAATTTTGAATACGTAATTTTAAATTGAGGTAAAAAAACTGAAGAAGATAATAGAATTAGAAAAATTGTGAATAATTAATTATAAATAGTCCGAAATATCAATTTTTGAAGATGCGCGCAAAATTACACTTTTTTTTTAAATAATGAGTAGGTCCATATATGGCTAGCCTTTGAGGATTAATAATTCGAATCTGGTCGAGCGTATTTATCGCGCGACGTAATTACGAGCATACAGCTTGAGCCATCAGCTTTGATTTCACGTGTCAATTAAGTTAATTATGTTCACTCGTGCCGCCGACTCCAAAATGTTCGAGCTTCTGGACACGCTTTTGACCGATGAGCTCGAAAGCCCCACCGGTGATTCGAGGCACGCTGGCATCGCGACGGTAATCTGTTATCCAGGCGACGCTGCTCGATGATGTCGGCAGGTCGCGTTATCGTTGTCGCTAACGACGATGAGCAACGCGAGGACGATGCACGTGCAAAACAAAGCTCGCGCGCGCGCTCCGTGGTCGATAATTTCAGACGCATTATCAGCGCGTGATGCGTAACATCGCGACGGACGTTTCCTCGAGATAATTGCGACGTATATCGACGACGAGGTCGCGTACGTGCGCCAAACTGAATTTCAACTCCACTTTTTTTGTAAATTTTTTAATTTTAGCACACAATTTGTAGTTTTATCAATTTTCTCCACTTTTTGCCTCGTGAAGCCGATCAGCTTGACTTTTGAGAAACCCGTGCAGCGGGGTGCCCCATTTATTTTCTGATAAAATTTTCGTACTGTCGATAACCGATAATCATGAGGAATTCGCGTACTCTATCAATCTCTTTCTGAACGTTTTCAGTTTTCTGTTTTCTTCTCGCAAGTTTATCTTTGTCTCGTGACAATGTAAGTACACGATCGCTGATCTTTTCTGCGCTCTTTCTCTCTTTATCCCGCAATTCAGAAACTTGTAGGGATTCATCCCTTTAGCGCGACGAGCTTCGAATGCGTCCGGTTGTCAATGCAACAACTACTAGTCTGGTCGTACTCGGTAATAATCGAATCGAGTTCACGATCTGGTTGCGCGAATCGACTCGTTCGCGCTGTTATCCGCCACACGATGTCGATAGACCTTTTACGTCAGGTACAGTGAGTGTGCATACACCGGTTGTATTACAGATCAAACGTAGATAGTAAAACGTACGCGAAAAAATAGAGAGATATCATCGTGCGCTTAAAAATCGAGCGATGGTTTAATTGCGCCACGCACTTAGACATTATACCATCGTACGTTTCATGCGGGAGATTAAAGGCATGATATGAATTCTCGGCTAACCGGAGTATCGAGGAGGGTTCTCGAATAATAAAATGTTTTACGTAATTGTTTTACGTACCGCGTATTAACGTTCAACATTTAATCCTGCGATAAAACAACTTGTAATCTCTTTTATAGTTTGCGTTCTGAAGAAGACGCACCTCTAAGCGACAATATAGGGATCGTAAATCAGAATATTGTTATTTATTGCATATACACATATACAAACTAGATCGCTTATGGAAGCTTAAGGTAATACACAGCTAGCTATAATATAACTTTAAACATAAAGGTTTCATAACGGTAGGGTTGGTATTCAAGAGAAGATTATGGACTTGCATAAATGTATTAGATTACTAACTTTCTTGTGTACCCAGCGGGATCAATAAGGATTTGCAAACTATTCGTCTATTTGGCGCTTCCAATGAAGCATTTGTTCTGTAATCTCGTTTGTTACTTTATATAAAAAACAAACTTTATACTTTTTTTGTAATCCTAAGTGAGTTATTAACGCCAAGATAAAATTTACCCTTATCCCTAGTTTATTATCCCAGCGATATTAAATTAAAAAGTATGTTTTAAATAAATTTTTCGTTCACAAGTAGGACTTGCTCCTGCTAAAATTATACTCCCGCTAAATCAGTGATCATTTCGTCTTGTTTTATCGACATTCCTCTGAGAATCTCGGGAATCCGCGAGAATGATTGAGATGCAATTCGGTAGACGGGGGATATATTGCTCACTGACATAACTGGATAAGTGGATACAGCATTATTGATCGATGTCTCGATCGCGTTAATCAATGGCTTCAGGTACATTGCCAGCCAGCCAAGGTCATTGTCACTATCTCACGATCTTTCTCGGTACCGTTACCATCGATAGTCGCTGAAAAGACGCGGTTAATAGCACACGTAACGTCTTACGTTACATGCATACGCATATCTGTTGATAAGTTGAGCGCTCCACGTGTCATTACACGCGTATTGGTTTATCGATTTGCGACTTTCTAGTCGCATCGTGTCACTAGAATTCTCACCTTTAACTCTATGGTCTACTTAAAAGGAAAAAAAAAGAATTACTGTTAGGCAGAAGAGACAGTTCTATATTGTGCTAAAAAAAAAGAAAATAAGCCTGATCGATTGCGTTTTTCTTTTTCATTTTGGCTAGATTCCGAGTTCACATTCTTGCTTTGATCATGAATTGACGATTTGCTCGACGAGATATTTTACTGTTAAAATTCTAATGGATCTGAACGTATCATTTCTGATCTCATTTCATAAACGTGGAAATGAGAATATAGAATAATCGTTATCTCGGTCTAATGATATCGCGCTACCGCGGCGATATAATAATCGTTACAAACAACTAAGTATTGAACGTGTTTAAAAATGGCTTGGAGATCACTCGAATTAAATCGGGTTCTCTATTGTCAAATGTTGACGGTACGGAAATACGGGCACGAATACGTCTCTCGGTGTCGTTGCCTGCCTTGCTTATTAATATTTTATCCCGCCTGATATCGCTCCAAGTATATAATCCGCTTGGCATATAGATTGACATTCCATTATTATTCCTACTTGAATAATTTATCAGGCAGTTTCGAAAAATAGAAAGAATAATTTATTGGAACGAGTAATCGTGTGCATAATTTGCCGAAAAAGAAAACACGAGCCCTCTCAATCCCTCCACAGTCATTTTCCACGGTCTCCAAATTTTCTTATCGAGGTGCGCGTCTACATTTAAATATTGATCTTGCTCCATAAACATTTATTTTCGCGCAGCAAAAATATTTTTGT